ATTTTCTAAAAAGTAAAGCCTAATGTCAAACAGTAGTTGACAAATTTTTTTTACATGATAATTCACTAATAAAAACCTTAGGGACTTTAGCCATGAAATGTATAAATCTTTGAAAAAATGTACAAAACTCTAAATTGCTTTCAGAGTGCCATGCGAAAGAAAGAGGCCTCGTGATCCATAAAATGCCGCAGCTGTGGGTATCGCATACTCTACAAGAAGAGGACAACTCGCCTTATTGTATTTGATGCCCGATGATTGATGCCAGTAATGAGGTTATTCAAGATTATACATGTCTAATTATTTATATTTCTGGAGATCTGTAGACATTTGAATGTAAGTTCAGTATATCTTCATACAACTAGTTTAATTAAAAAAAAAAAAACTGCTCTGTATTTTTTTTTTTTTTTTTTGAAAAGAGGATTCATAAGTGTCAGAATGTCATATAATGTTCAGTATATTTATTGCTATTCTAAGTGGGTTATAAGGAAACAAAATAAGATAAAATTAGAAGTAAAACTTTGGATTTAAAACATGGAGTCAGAAAGCCATACTGAATTTAGACACTAAACCCATACAGGTTATAGTTCTTAGGGAATGGGAATTATTACATTCATGGTGGAGAGGGGGGAGCTAAACCAGTAGGGTTCATACAGTTCCTTGGACTAAGGGAGACAGACTTGATCCAAGGAAGGGGAAATTATGTCCAAATCCTTGGATCAAGTGATGGGAATATCAAGTAATCAGGCAGGCACTTTTAATTCTTTGAGTCAAGGTCTATTCCAACATTTAAGAAGCCCCTTAAAGGATGAAATAATTACAGTAAGGAATTTAATAACTATTTTAAATTTGAAATCTGATATAGCTTAACCTAAAAAAACTAGTATTAAAGTGAGCTGTAAGCACACCTAGATATGAAATAATAAATTTTTGTTCATGGGCGTTTGTTTTAAATAAAAAATGCAGCGCTGTATAGCCCTTGTGGTTTAGTGCTTCTATTTGATTATAATAATAATTTAAATAAAATACAAAATTCTAAAAGCAATTTGTATGTACTTAGTTATGATTACAATAATAATATACTTAAGTGTTAAACCCACAAAGGTCATTGCTGCACTTTAATGTATAATACTATGATCACATAATGAGAATACAAAAATCACAATAAAGTCAAAATACTGATAAAAAATTAGCAGCCACATTATTCCCTGGAGAAATTGATATAAAGGGGGCAGGGAGGTCAATGACTGCTATTTAAAATAACCAGTTTTTTTCCCAAATATGTAACCTCCAGTAGATGGCCACTCAAATCTAAATCTCACTGGCAAAAATTGTGAAGTCACTGTCACCATCAACAGCTAGCTGGTTCTGACTTGTAATACTACTAATAAATATTTGTGACTGGTTCTGGAGTGAGACAACCACCTCAACATACCAATGAAGTTAGTAAGGCTGATAGTGATTCTTTATCCATCTATCTAGCTGGCTTTCACTAAAGGAAAAATATCTCCTCTAATGAAGTCAAGGAGAGGAGGGGGGTTGGGGAGGTTATTTCAGATTCAGTATGAGGAAGGGGAGAAGAGATCCAATTCCTCATATTGACTCTGACTCAAGAAATCGTAATGACACGATTGCAAATAAACCATACCCCCGGCCGGGATTGAACCCGCAGTCATAGAGTCTCAAAACTCCAGCCCGTCGCGTTAGCCACTAGACCAGCTAGCCACAATAAGATTCATCCAACTAGGTATATTTCTACACCATAGGAAAGTTAGCACAGGCACCTCTGTGACCACAAATGCAAGTTTTTACAGACGAATCTCCAGCTAGCGTGGCCGTGACGAACTCTAGCTCAAGTCCCTTCACTGCCGCGACGGGCTGGAGTTTTGAGACTCTATGACCGCGGGTTCAATCCCGGCCGGGGGTATGGTTTATTTGCAATCGTGTCATTACGATTTCTTGAGTCATGTTGACGGCAGTGAAGGGACTTGAGCTAGAGTTCGTCACGGCCACGCTAGCTGGAGATTCGTCTGTAAAAACTTGCATTTGTGGTCACAGAGGTGCCTGTGCTAACTTTCCTATGGTGTAGAAATATACCTAGTTGGATGAATCTTATTGTGGCTAGCTGGTCTAGTGGCTAACGCGACGGGCTGGAGTTTTGAGACTCTATGACCGCGGGTTCAATCCCGGCCGGGGGTATGGTTGACTCTCTCTGTTGCATAGACCCCAAAATATAAAGCATTAGGAGCATGATAATGTACAAGCAACAATATGCATACTAGCACCTTTAACAATTCACAAATGTCCACTTACGTTAACTGCACACAAAAACAAGTGATACCTACATAAAATCAACATGGTAAACTTCTCCAGAGAAACCATATCAAAGTAAATGCATAATGCAGTATATTATATGGCATTATTTTTCATACATGAACAGAATAATAATCTTCATATAAAGGATCTTTAACATTGTAATACAAGTTTAAACAGTTTTAACCAACAAAGCAAGCTAAAATTATAAAAATAATATTTTACAGGTAATTAATATACACATTTAATGGAGACTTGGTCCAAATGTCAAATGTTAAGGCCAGTTGACACACATCTAAATATTGCATTAGTATTATTAAATATACTACACTCTAAGGGAGGGGTTTAGGATATTGGCAGTTTGGGACGTCGAAACTATCGTATCTGAACGCCTCTGCAAAGACAGTGATTATGTATGAGTGATGGTGAAAATGTTGAATGATGAAAGTTTTTTCTTTCTGGATTTTTTTTTCTCATTGGGTCACCATGTCTTGGTGGGAAACAGCCAACGTTAAAAAAAAAAAATACTAAACAAGGGCGAATAAGGTTTATTCCCCTCCTCATCATTGTCACTGATGAAGATACAGTATTGCAAGAGTGGACAATAACAAATGAAAACATTACCTTGCAGAGAAATTATATAATTAAACTGAGCACTAAACCGAAAATTCTCTGCAGAGAAAATGTGAAACTTGTTTAATACAGATAATCAACTCTGTAGGCACACAACTCAAACCTAAGTTCATGCAAAACATTTTGTAATTATATTGTCTACAAGAACATCACATGCCATTAATGAGTTAAAGAGAAGTAAAAATGTCACCTTATCTCTAAATTACTCCATGGGGAAGTGGAACAGAATTCTTCCTCCGTAAGCCATGTGTGTCATAAGAGGCGACTAAAATGCCGGGAGCAAGGGGCTAGTAATCCCTTCTCCTGTATATATTAAATTTAAAAGGAGAAACTTTAGTTTTTCCTTTTGGGCCACCCCGCCTCGGTGGGATACGACTGGTTTGTTGAAAGAAAGATCTCTAAATTATATATTATGCTGAACATCCCTGCAGTATGATATATAAACAATATTATGACTGAAAAAGCATTTTTTTTCTTAACATACTGGCATCTCCAACCAAGGTAGGGTGACCTAAAAAAGAAACACTTTCACCATCATTCACACATAATCACTGTTTTTACAGAGGTGCCCGGATACGACAGTTTAGATGCCACTCCAAACAACCAATATCCTAAACTCCTCCTTCAAAGTGCAGGCACTGTATGACCCCTACCCCTCCTGGAACTGTAATGTCAGCATGCTTCTGGTACAGTGATTGAGTGAGATTGACAGTCCATACCACGGGCGGGGGTTAGAACCCGCAATCAGAGAGTCTCAAAATTCCAGACCATCGCGTTAGCCACTGGGCCAACTAGCCACAATAAGATTCATCCAACTAGGTATATTTATACACCATAGGAAGGTTAGCATAGACACCACTGTGACCACAAATGCAAGTTTTTACAGACGAATCTCCAGCTAGTGTGGCTGTGATGAACTCTAGCTCAAGTCCCCTCAAAGTCGTCAACATGACTCACGACCGTGGGTAATGCAACGATCTGGAGTTTTGAGACACTCTGATTGCAGGTTCTAACTCGCCCATGGTATGGTTTGTTTGCAATCGTGTCATTACAATTTCATGAGACATTGACAGTGTTTTCTTTGTTGGGTTACCCTACCTTGGTGGGAGATGGGTGGAGTATTAAAAAAAATGATATTCACCCTGGCATTAAACCCATATGGGTGATTTAGATACATCTAGACAGGTACATAATTCAAAACAAAAATAAATTCTGACTACACATCAAATGCATGATACTGTCACAAAGTTTAAGCCCATGCAATATTGTATATTTACCTTGATTTGTAAGATATTTCATAACTCCTCAAGTAAACCTTCTATATAATGGACTAATGGGGAATTTGGCATCTGGTAATGATGATCATAATGGACAGAGAGGAAATTTTGCCATAATATCATTAGCCAACACTTACGTAGGTAAAACACATAGGCAACAGTTAGGCAACTTTATTCCGAAACGTTTCGCCTACACACTAATACACTAATAAAATGTTGAGAAAAAGAAACTCATTTACAAATTAAATTAAAATAAACAAAAATAAATTCTTTTAAACTCTATTCATAAATTTACATATACTGTATTAAACACAAATAAAACTTATGGAATGCAACAGCAGAAGCATAAACTATATTATATTATATATTATCACACTGGCCGATTCCCACCAAGGCAGGGTGGCCCGAAAAAGAAAAACTTTCACCATCATTCACTCCATCACTGTCTTGCCAGAAGGGTGCTTTACACTACAGTTTTTAAACTGCAACATTAACACCCCTCCTTCAGAGTGCAGGCACTGTACTTCCCATCTCCAGGACTCAAGTCCGGCCTGCCGGTTTCCCTCAACCCCTTCATAAATGTTACTTTGCTCACACTCCAACAGCACGTCAAGTGTTAAAAACCATTTGTCTCCATTCACTCCTATCAAACACGCTCACGCATGCCTGCTGGAAGTCCAAGCCCCTCGCCACAAAACCTCCTTTACCCCCTCCCTCCAACCTTTCCTAGGCCGACCCCTACCCCGCCTTCCTTCCACTACAGACTGATACATCTTGAAGTCATTCTGTTTCACTCCATTCTCTCTACATGTCCGAACCACCTCAACAACCCTTCCTCAGCCCTCTGGACAACAGTTTTGGTAATCCCGCACCTCCTCCTAACTTCCAAACTACGAATTCTCTGCATTATATTCACACCACACATTGCCCTCAGACATGACATCTCCACTCCCTCCAGCCTTCTCCTCGCTGCAACATTCATCACCCATGCTTCACACCCATATAAGAGCGTTGGTAAAACTATACTCTCATACATTCCCCTCTTTGCCTCCAAGGACAAAGTTCTTTGTCTCCACAGACTCCTAAGTGCACCACTCACCCTTTTCCCCTCATCAATTCTATGATTCACCTCATCTTTCATAGACCCATCCGTTGACACGTCCACTCCCAAATATTTGAATACATTCACCTCCTCCATACTCTCTCCCTCCAATCTGATATCCAATCTTTCATCACCTAATCTTTTTGTTATCCTCACAGCCTTACTCTTTCCTGTATTCACTTTTAATTTTCTTCTTTTGCACACCCTACCAAATTCATCCACCAATCTCTGCAACTTCTCTTCAGAATCTCCCAAGAGCACAGTGTCATCAGCAAAGAGCAACTGTGACAACTCCCACTTTATGTGTGATTCTTTATCTTTAACTCCACGCCTCTTGCCAAGACCCTCGCATTTACTTCTCTTACAACCCCATCTATAAATATATTAAACAACCATGGTGACATCACACATCCTTGTCTAAGGCCTACTTTTACTGGGAAATAATTTCCCTCTTTCCTACATACTCTACTTGAGCCTCACTATCCTCGTAAAAACTCTTCACTGCTTTCAGTAACCTACCTCCTACACCATACACTTGCAACATCTGCCACATTGCCCCCCTATCCACCCTGTCATACGCCTTTTCCAAATCCATAAATGCCACAAAGACCTCTTTAGCCTTATCTAAATACTGTTCACTTATATGTTTCACTGTAAACACCTGGTCCACACACCCCCTACCTTTCCTAAAGCCTCCTTGTTCATCTGCTATCCTATTCTCCGTCTTACTCTTAATTCTTTCAATAATAACTCTCCCATACACTTTACCAGGTATACTCAACAGACTTATCCCCCTATAATTTTTGCACTCTCTTTTATCCCCTTTGCCTTTATACAGAGGAACTATGCATGCTCTCTGCCAATCCCTAGGTACCTTACCCTCTTCCATACATTTATTAAATAATTGCACCAACCACTCCAAAACTATATCCCCACCTGCTTTTAACATTTCTATCTTTATCCCATCAATCCCGGCTGCCTTACCCCCTTTCATTTTACCTACTGCCTCACGAACTTCCCCCACACTCACAACTGGCTCTTCCTCACTCCTACAAGATGTTATTCCTCCTTGCCCTATACACGAAATCACTAGATAATGTAATTATAATATATATTATAATGTATAATATACATTATAATGTAATTATACTGTAATTATAATCACTTAAACACCTAGAAACACTCATACCCCTGAGAACAAAGCATATTCTAGAAGTAAACACTTATCATAAATTCACAAGCACACTACCCTAAATGCAAAATGACTAGATATTACAATTTAACTTTTCATGGCTGTCTTCTTGTTGCCCATCAGAATGGCAAACACAAAGCCAACAATTTTCTCATACAAGACAAACATGAGTGCTGCTGTCACCACTGTCTGCAGAATCTTGGCTTCCAAACCCTTGAATAACCCTCTGAAGCCGTATGTCCTGTAAACAGATTAGAGTAAAATATTAAGAGAACTTTCCCAAGATAAAATTATGAAACAGCTACCAGTTGAATTAAATCATAAAATTTAGAAAAGTTGAACAATGCAAAAATGTAATGCATTTTCTGTTTTATTTGAGAAGAAAAAAGGTAATTTTAATAAGTTGTGTATTAGATCAAATATCTAAAAATATCATCAATAATCAAGTGTTTGGGGAATATGAAAGAAAAAGACAATTGCACCCCATTTAACCAGGTAGAACTCGACCCCTGCAACCACAAATAGGTAAGTACACAATAACCAGGAGCTCTGGTTAACCATAATTATTTCAGTGGCAGTAATTGCCTCAGATTAACCAGATATTCTCAAGCCAGCCAAAGCTAGGTGACATTACACTAGCTTGAAAATTTAATGAATTAGACAATTATTAACCTAGTAACAAATCAATGCATACATATGAAGAATCTGTCTAGGTAATTTTATCCATAATCACTAAAAGTTCCACAAATACATAATGTATAATCTAACTTCTCTAAATTTGTCTATCTTAGAGTACTATTTTCTCTACACACTCAAGGGACCTTTTCATAATGAAATGTATTCCTCCATTTTCTACTTATGTTAGTCACTCTTCAATAATTTTAACTACTTTCATGTCACACTTCTGCACACTAGCCTAGTAAATTTGCTTTTCATCATCTTTTAAACAATACCTAAAATTATATAATCAAACTGTTTTCCAACCTGATTATATGAAGCATAATGGGGATGAGACCAGCCTTCTGTGGCAGCCTCTCATAGTTGTGACCATGCTGGAAAGGAAAGTCACTGTGATCACCGACCTATATCATACAGACTTAAGTTCCACTAGATGGTCAGTGGGGATTTATGACACTGATGTATATTATACAAGCTGAGGAGGGATATTGAGGTGGTTTGGACATTTAGAGAGGATGGAACAAAACAGAATGACTTGGAGGGCTCATAAATCTGTAGTGGAAGGAAGGCGGGGTAGGGGGTCATCCTAGGAAAGGTTAGTGGGAGTAAAGAAGGTTTTGCGTGTGAGGGGGCTGGGACTTCCAGCAGGCGTGCATGAGCTTGTTACATACGAGCGAGTGGAGACAAATGTTTTTTATGACTTGACGTGCTGTTGGAGTTTGAGCAGAGTAACATTTATGAATGGATTTAGGGAAACCAGTTAGCCGGACTGGAGTCCTGGAGGTGGGAAATATATTGCCCGTGCCCTGAAAGAGGGGAGTTGATATGTTGTAGTTTTTTTTAACTGTAGTCTAGGCGCATCTCTGGAAACAGTGATGGAGTGAATGATGATAAAAGTGTTTCTTCTTTTTCAGGTCACCCTGTCTCAGTGGGGAAACAGCCAATGTGTTAATAGAAAAAGAAAATTAACTAGATGATGTTCTGTGGGGATTTATGACAGTTTTATAAAAAATAGTTTTTTTTAACGAACTGGCCGTATTCCAGTGAGGCAGAGGTGACCTAAAAAAATGAATATTTTTCTTTTTAAATTTAGTAATTTATAAAGAAGAAGTTACTAGCCCATTGTTCCCTGCGTTATAGACAGCTCTTACAACACGCATGGCTTACAGAGGAAGAATTCTTTTCAACTTCCCCATGGAGATAAGAGGAAATAAAGAACAAGAACTATTAAGAAAACAGAAGAAAACCCAGATGGGTGTGTAAATATATATGCATGTAGCATCCAAGCATGTGCAGTGTCACCCGAGTGTAAGTAGAAGTAGTAAGATATACCTGTTATCTTACATGCTTATGAGACAAAAAAAGGACACCAGCAGTCCTACCATCATGTAAAACAATTACAGGTTTTCATTTCACACTCATTTGGTAGGATGGTAGTACCTCCCTGGGTGGCTGCTGGCTACCAGTCTACTACCTCATAAATAGATAAATATCATAAATAAATAACATGTACAGTACATCTTCCTGTTTTCACCTATGGGGTTAACACTTTACATTAAAATAAAATTTCTAATTACCCTTTGCTTGGCTTGCACCAGCTGAATGGGATAAGTGAGGACAGTAGCAATGGCTTTGGCTGCTGCACCAACAGCAAACACTACCAGGGAGTTAAGCTGTCTCGCACCGTAAATACTCTGCATGTTACGCTTCATTGCTTCATAAGCCATGAACTGGATGGCTGGATTGACGGTCAGAATGAGGGAAGAACCAGCACCGGACCATAGACCAGCCAGGCCCTCTTCTCGTCCAACATGTCTCAGACCATCTGGAAATTATATTTGCATTTTAAACTAGTTTGATTGCTTTGTTATATACCATGCTTTATCATATATCATTAGAATGCATAACCTGTTATATAGTGTTTCAAATACATCACTGATAAACATTAGTTACATCAAATTCTATAACACTCATAACTTTATTATACTCCTCCTTTATTTCAAATTCTAATTAGAATTTTTCAAAAAAATCATATTTGAAAAAAACTAATTAAAAACTTAAAAAAATAATAATTATATGAACATCAGAACATTGTGATGTACAATATTATTTTTTATTTTTTTTTATTATCACACTGGCCGATTCCCACCAAGGCAGGGTGGCCCGAAAAAGAAAAACTTTCACCATCATTCACTCCATCACTGTCTTGCCAGAAGGGTGCTTTACACTACAGTTTTTAAACTGCAACATTAACACCCCTCCTTCAGAGTGCAGGCACTGTACTTCCCATCTCCAGGACTCAAGTCCGGCCTGCCGGTTTCCCTGAATCCCTTCATAAATGTTACTTTGCTCACACTCCAACAGCACGTCAAGTATTAAAAACCATTTGTCTCCATTCACTCCTATCAAACACGCTCACGCACGCCTGCTGGAAGTCCAAGCCCCTCGCACACAAAACCTCCTTCACCCCTCCCTCCAACCCTTCCTAGGCCGACCCCTACCCCGCCTTCCTTCCACTACAGACTGATACACTCTTGAAGTCATTCTGTTTCGCTCCATTCTCTCTACATGTCCGAACCACCTCAACAACCCTTCCTCAGCCCTCTGGACAACAGTTTTGGTAATCCCGCACCTCCTCCTAACTTCCAAACTACGAATTCTCTGCATTATATTCACACCACACATTGCCCTCAGACATGACATCTCCACTGCCTCCAGCCTTCTCCTCGCTGCAACATTCATCACCCACGCTTCACACCCATATAAGAGCGTTGGTAAAACTATACTCTCATACATTCCCCTCTTTGCCTCCAAGGACAAAGTTCTTTGTCTCCACAGACTCCTAAGTGCACCACTCACTCTTTTTCCCTCATCAATTCTATGATTCACCTCATCTTTCATAGACCCATCCGCTGACACGTCCACTCCCAAATATCTGAATACATTCACCTCCTCCATACTCTCTCCCTCCAATCTGATATTCAATCTTTCATCACCTAATCTTTTTGTTATCCTCATAACCTTACTCTTTCCTGTATTCACCTTTAATTTTCTTCTTTTGCACACCCTACCAAATTCATCCACAATCTCTGCAGCTTCTCTTCAGAATCTCCCAAGAGCACAGTGTCATCAGCAAAGAGCAGCTGTGCCCAACTCCCACTTTGTGTGTGATTCTTTATTTTTAACTCCAGCTCTTTGCCAAGACCCTCGCATTTACTTCTCTTAAAACCCCATCTATAAATATATTAAACAACCACGGTGACATCACACACCCTTTTGTCTAAGGCCTACTTTTACTGGGAAAAAATTTTCCCTCTTTCCTACATACTCTAACTTGAGCCTCACTATCCTCGTAAAAACTCTTCACTGCTTTCAGTAACCTCCCTCCTACACCATACACTTGCAACATCGCCACATTGCCCCCTATCCACCCTGTCATACGCCTTTTCCAAATCCATAAATGCCACAAAGACCTTTTTAGCCTTATCTAAATACTGTTCACTTATATGTTTCACTGTAAACACCTGGTCCACACACCCCTACCTTTCCTAAAGCCTCCTTGTTCATCTGCTATCCTATTCCCCGTCTTACTCTTAATTCTTTCAATTATAATTTACCATACACTTTACCAGGTACACTCAACAGACTTACCCCCCTATAATTTTTGCACTCTCTTTTATCCCCTTTGCCTTTATACAAAGGAATATGCAGCCTCTGCCAATCCCTAGGTACCTTACCCTCTTCCATACATTTATTAAATAATTGACCAACCACTCCAAAACTATATCCCCCCCTGCTTTTAAAAATTTCTATCTTTATCCCATCAATCCCGGCTGCCTTACCCCCTTTCATTTTACCTACTGCCTCACGAACTTCCCCACACTCACAACTGCTCTTCCTCACTCCTACAAGATGTTATTCCTCCTTGCCCTATACACGAAATCACAGCTTCCCTATCTTCATCAACATTTAACAATTCCTCAAAATATTCCCTCCATCTTCCCAATACCTCTAACTCTCCATTTAATAACTCTCCTCTCCTATTTTTAACTGACAAATCCATTTGTTCTCTAGGCTTTCTTAACTTGTTAATCTCACTCCAAAACTTTTCTTATTTTCAACAAAATTTGTTGATAACATCTCACCCACTCTCCATTTGCTCTCTTTTTACATTGCTTCCCCCACCCCTCTTAACCTCTCTCTTTTTCTCCATATACTCTTCCCTCCTTGCATCACTTCTACTTTGTTAAAAACTTCTCATATGCTAACTTTTTCTCCCTTACTACTCTCTTTACATCATCATTCCACCAATCACTCCTCTTCCCTCCTGCACCCACTTTCCTGTAACCACAAAAAATTGCTGAACACTCTAACACTACATTTTTTAAACCTACCCCCTACCTCTTCGACCCCATTGCCTATGCTCTCATTAGCCCATCTATCCTCCAATAGCTGTTTATATCTTACCCTAACTGCTCCTCTTTTAGTTTATAAAACCCTTACCTCTCTCTTCCCTGATGCTTTTATTCTCCTTGTATCCCATCTACCTTTTACTCTCAGTGTAGCTACAACTAGAAAGTGATCTGATATATCTGTGGCCCCTCTATAAACAGTACATCCTGAAGTCTACTCAACAGTCTTTTATCTACCAATACATAATCCAACAAACTACTGTCATTCGCCCTACATCATATCGGTATACTTATTTATCCTCTTTTTCTTTAAAATATGTATTACCTATAACTAAACCCTTTCTATACAAAGTTCAACCAAAGGGCTCCCATTATCATTTACACCTGGCACCCCAAACTTACCTACCACACCCTCTCTAAAAGTTTCTCCTACTTTAGCATTCAGTCCCTACCACAATTACTCTCTCACTTGGTTCAAAGGCTCCTATACATTCACTTAACATCTCCCCAAAATCTCTCTCCTCTCCTCTGCATTCCTCTCTTCTCCAGGTGCATACACGCTTATTATGACCCACTTCTCGCATCCAACCTTTACTTTAATCCACATAATTCTTGAATTTACACATCATATTCTCTTTTCTCCTTCCATAACTGATCATTTAACATTACTGCTACCCTTCCTTTGCTCTAACTCTCTCAGATACTCCAGATTTAATCCCATTTATTTCCCCCCACTGAAATTCTCCTACCCCCTTCAGCTTTGTTTCGCTTAGAGCCAGGACATCCAACTTCTTTTCATTCATAACATCAGCAATCATCTGTTTCTTGTCATCCGCACAACATCCACGCACATTTAAGCATCCCAATTTTATAAAGTTTTTCTTCTTCTCTTTTTTAGTAAATGTATACAGGAGAAGGGGTTACTAGCCCATTGCTCCCGGCATTTTAGTCGCCTCATACGACACGCATGGCTTACGGAGGAAAGATTCTTTTCCACTTCCCCATGGACAATAGAAGAAATAAAAAAGAACAAGAGCTATTTAGAAAAAGGAGAAAAACCTAGATGTATGTATATATATATATATGCATGTGCGTGTCTGTGAAGTGTGACCAAAGTGTAAGTAGGAGTAGCAATATATCCACATCATTCTTGTAAACATTTTACTACGATGCTCAGCTGCACTCTTCATGCTGGAGGAAGGTACTGCCCTGTGCAACAATATCTTACCTGACATACTTGAACAAGTTTCCAGATTTCTTAATTCTCAAATGGCAGCCAATTATTATTATTATTGTCATCATTATTATTACCATTAGTATTATTACCATCAAAGAGCCACAGTGCCTTAGTGCTGGTAAAGGGTTTTTAATCCAAGGAACTGGAGCAAATCAGATTACCTTGAATTCCCCAATGTAAAATCTTTACAGGTTAGTGCCTCACTTAGAATGAAACAATAATAATAATATATGCAAGTCTAAAAAAAAAAAAAAAAAAAAACTGCCATAAGAGATAAAATCATAATCTTCAAATTTGAAAATGACCTCACTCACCTAGCATACCCTTGTACTTGCGAGATGCAGTGACCTGGCTGGTATGGACTTTAGCACCCTGCATCTTCAACCGTGTGTTCACAACCCATAGTGGATTGGTCATCATTACATTCACTGATCCTGCAATAATGAGAAAATGATCGACCCTTGTAATACAGCATGGTTGAATAACACATTACACATATTTATGACAGTTAGCTAATAAATATAAACTAGATACAGAGAAGACTTTCAATTAGCACTTTCCTTGAAGATAAGATTGAACATAGAAAAATTTGAACTGCTTTTACTATCAATTATTACATTATTATTATTACACCTACCATCCGACTTATGACCTGCTTGACATACGACCACTCGACTTACAACCATGTTTTGTCTGCCAAATTTCTGGGAAATAAACAACTGTTTGTGTTGTACACTGTTTTTCCTAAACCTTACAGTATGAAATACAGTACTAACAGCATAAAAAGTAAAAATGAAATACCAAAATTAAACAATAAAATAAAATCATTACACAAATGTGATGTTGATATTCAGTAGTAAGGTTCGACTTATGTCCATTTTGACTTACAACCGGTTGGACAGAACCAAGCTCGGTCATAAGTCGGATGGTAGGTGTACGTATTATTAGTATTATTATTATAATTCACAAACCTGCAACCATAGCGAGTACAAGGTCTCGTAGTGCTGAATTATCTTCATTGGCTATTCGTTTGAGCCCATGAAAGGTGTAAAAATAAACAAAGTTGGAGCAATATAAAGACTCTATCACAGGGAGGAGGCCTCGATACAAGCCAGCACTGAAGAAAATGAGTAATGGGAAAAAGATACATTATGATAAATACAAGAGAGATCAAAGTACAAATCACACTTAATTAAATAAAATGGAGTTTAATATACACAATGTAGCTTTCTACAATAATAAATCTAGTTAGACTAAGTAAGTCCTAGATCTTGATATGAATAGATCTACTTGTTAATGCAGTAAACATTATCGAAAGTTTCTAGGAATTAGCCAAAAAAAAAAAAAAAAAAAAAAAATACCGTCACTGCAGGAACCTTCAAACTTACTATCCCTCTTGCTTGTACACTTCAGCCAGCATAACAAATGTGTTGCGACTTGACTGGCATTCCTCCACTGCAATATTGGAACAGCAATTAGTAATAAACAAAATAAAAAATTACAAAAAACAGCTTGGATACATTCACATCAACAAACTTCAGAAACTAGTTTGCAGGTTATCCCTTCCTTCCCCCACACGACAAACCAATCAGAAAAAATAACAGAAAGTACCAGTAACCAAAATATCCGGTACAACTAGTTTGTTAGTAGAGTACTGTAATACAGTTGTCATTTTAATACAGTATACAGTATAATATAAAAATACCGTTACTTTCCAGAGTAAATTTCATGACCAATGTAGCATTCGTAGTGAAATACTACAACATTACATTGTCTTAGAGAAGTTAAAATCTGGTCAAAAGATTGTCTACCTGTACAAGGCAAAATTGATACTCCTCTTTCTGAGTATAAATCCTCACCTAACTTATCAATACCATCCTAAAATATCTCAGAACAAGAAATTAGTATACAAGTTGACAAAAAGATGCAATACAAAATTGGAATGTTGATGTGGTATGCAACAGTGAAGCTGAAGTGTGAGACTGATTATGCAATTAAGACAGGGTGAAGATGATGTGTGTGTGAAGGAAAAAATATGAAAGACAATCTATATAAACAAGTTACCTAAAATTACCAGTAAATATGTATGTAAAACCAGTATTATTATTATTATTAAATTTGTGAAAGTGCTAAACCCATACAGGTCATACAACATCTGGCAAAATGGGAGGCAATAGGTTCAATTCAGTGACTGGGAGGTCGAGTCCAATTCCCTGGATTAAGAGCCCTTCATCAGCATCAAGGATCCTCTCATGAGGAGTATAAAGCCAATAAATAGTTAGTAATCAGAGATACACTTACACTGCAATCTTGTTCTGACTGTGTCGAGAGGGAAGACAGCAGACATAGCCACTGCAGACCCCTGGAATTTAAGTATAATACAGGAATAAATGTAAAATATAAGTTTGCTGCTACAATAAACAGATGCAATATTATTATTATTATTACATTCATGAGGAAGTACTAAACCTGTAGGAGGCCATACAGCACCAAAGGGAATAGAATGAAACCCAGCTTCTTCCAAGAGAGGGGAGATCAGATCCAGTTCCATGAATCAAAAGCCCCTCAATGACATTAAGGAACTTCTCTTGAAGGGCTGATACAATAGTATTCAACAAGATTTTTCTCCTGTCACAACCCAAGTAACATCTTTATAACACCAGCTATAAACATGCACCTAGTGTCATCTACTTTACATTATATGATCAAAGAAATAGAGTTCTGTTAAGTTTTACATAAATTGTGCAAATTAAACTACTGTGCCTACTCCTATTTACCTGGAGAGAGTTCTGGGGGGCAACACCCCCGCAGCCGGTCTGTGACCAGGCCTCCTGGTGGATCAGAGCCTGATCAACCAGGCTGTTGCTGCTGGCTGCAAGCAAACCAACGTACGAGCCACAGCCCGGCTGGTCAGGAACTGACTTTAGGTGCTTGTCCAGTGCCAGCTTGAAGACTGCCAGGGGTCTGTTGTTAATCCCCCTTATGTATGCTGGGAGGCGGTTGAACAGTCTCGGGCCCCTGACACTTATTGTATGGTCTCTTAACGTGCTAGTGACACCCCTGCTTTTCATTGAGGGGATGTTGCATCGTCTGCCAAGTCTTTTGCTTTCGTAGTGAGTGATTTTCGTGTGCAAGTTCGGTACTAGTCCCTCTAGGATTTTCCAGGTGTATATAATCATGTATCTCTCCCGCCTGCATTCCAGGGAATACAGGTTTAGGAACCTCAAGCGCTCCCAGTAATTGAGGTGTTTTATCTCCGTTATGCGCGCCGTGAAGGTTCTCTGTACATTTTCTAGGTCAGCAATTTCACCTGCCTTGAAAGGTGCTGTTAGTGTGCAGCAATATTCCAGCCTAGATAGAACAAGTGACCTGAAGAGTGTCATCATGGGCTTGGCCTCCCTAGTTTTGAAGGTTCTCATTATCCATCCTGTCATTTTTCTAGCAGATGTGATTGATACAATGTTATGGTCCTTGAAGGTGAGATCCTCCGACATAATCACTCCCAGGTCTTTGACGTTGTTGTTTCGCTCTATTTTGTGGCCAGAATTTGTTTTGTACTCTGATGAAGATTTAATTTCCTCGTGTTTACCATATCTGAGTAATTGAAATTTCTCATCGTTGAACTTCATATTGTTTTCTGCAGCCCACTGAAAGATTTGGTTGATGTCCACCTGGAGCCTTGCAGTGTCTGCAATGAAAGACACTGTCATGCAGATTCGGGTGTCATCTGCAAAGGAAGACACGGTGCTGTGGCTGACATCCTTGTCTATGTCGGATATGAGGATGAGGAACAAGATGGGAGCGAGTACTGTGCCTTGTGGAACAGAACTTTTCACCGTAGCTGCCTTGGACTTTACTCTGTTGACGACTACTCTCTGTGTTCTGTTAGTGAGGAAATTATAGATCCATCGACCGACTTTTCCTGTTATTCCTTTAGCACGCATTTTGTGCGCTATTACGCCATGGTCACACTTGTCGAAGGCTTTTGCAAAGTCTGTATATATTACATCTGCATTCTTTTTGTCTTCTAGTGCATTTAGGACCTTGTCGTAGTGATCCAATAGTTGAGATAGTTTAAGTTTCTCGATAAAGGTTGGTTGAGCTCTGAAGAGAAAGTGAAGACTGAAATGGTAACTAAAAGTTTATTTAGATAAAACTATCATTTTAAACTATTGCATTTGTTAATGACTGGGAGGTCATGGCTCCTTCCCAGTCTCAGACCAGCATTCCTAAATTGGAAAGGAAATACTACAAAAATATAAACTACTGAGAAACACCTATGTAAGTAAATTATTATTATTATTTTAGGAGGATGTGCTAACCCAACAGGGGTTATATAGTGCCTGGGAGGCAATAATGTGTGATTCAGGGAAAGAGAGGTTAGATCCAATTCCTCAGATCAAGAGCCTCTCAATGGCATCAAGGAACCTTCCTTGACAGGATATACAATTAAAGCTAAATATAAAATATACTGAGTACAAGTAGGAGTTTGCAAAATTTACTTGTACATGTTAATGAAAGAAAAGACCAGGAATCCTACCAGACTGCAAAACATTTATAGTCTTCTCATTCACAATAATATGACAGAATGATAGTACTGTGTCTCCCTAGATGGTTTTTATCTCAATAAAATTAGGTACATAATTTACTGTAATTTACTACTGCATATAAAGACACTAAAAGTTTAAAATTATGTATTAGGCTTAAATAAACACTTACTTAGTCCATTACTGTTCATATAAAAACCTGGTGGCCTGGTGGCTAAAGCTCTCGCTTTGCACACGGAGGGCCCGGGTTTGATTCCAGGTGGGTGGAAACATTTCAACATGTTTCCTTACACCTGTTGTCCTGTTCACCAAGCAGCAAATGGTTACCTGGGTGTTAGTCAACTAGTGTGGGTCGCATCCTGGGGGACAAGATTGAGGATCCCAATGGAAATAAGTTAAGACAGTCCTTGATGACACACTGACTTTCTTGGGTTATCCTGGGTGGCTAACCCTTCAGGGTTAAAAATCCAAAGAAAATCTTATGTTATCTAATTTTGTAAAAGCTATTTACCATATGGAAATTATTGTTACTACTACTACTACTACATGACAGGCAGCGATACTCACTATACTTCCGAAAAATAAAAAATACGTAGTGCATTATAAATATAATTTGTTTTATTCTCTATGCATCAGATTATATAATCAGGATGGGTTGAAGAAAAGCATTTTATTCAGAATATTAACACAGTGTTAGCGACCTAGCATATGCCAGATCAGTCGTGTATTTCCATTGGGATCCTTAACTCCTTCCCAGGATGTGACCCGATAACAGCTGGTTAGGTGAATAAGAGACGGGTAAAGGAAAATATGCCCAAACTTTCCCACTTATACCAAAACTGAACCCAGGTCCTTCATATATGAACTGGAACTCCCACTTGATCCACACTGTACCTACTTGAGCCAGTGATAATACACCCACACCTACTACTTACCTGGAGTATACCTGGAGAGGGTTCTGGGGGTCAACGCCCCTGAGGTCCGGTCTGTGACCAGGCCTCTCAATGGATCAGGTCCTGATCAACCAGGCTGTTATTGCTGGCCACACATAAACCTATGTACAAACCACAGGCTGACTGGTCAGGTACTGACTTTAGGTGCTTGTCCAGCATGTTCTTGAAGACAGTCAGGGGTCTATTGGTAATCCCCCTTATATATGCTGGGAGGCAGTTGAACAGTCTTGGGCCCCTGACACTGTTTTCTCTTAGTGTACTCATGGCTCCCCTGCTTACTATATTACATAAATCTACATTTTTACTGTTAACTGATGCATAATAAAACAAAAGTACAAAAAGAAACATATTTTATTTGGATTATTAGCCCAGAGGATTAATATCCCAGGATAACCCAGTACATGTCGTTAGAATATCTGGTTTATGTTCAATGAGACTTTTAATTCTCTTCCACAGGATACAACCCACATTGGCTGTCTAACAACCATGTACCTACTTACCAGGTGTAAGTTTATTAAGGCACAGGTACACATAATTAAAATTATCATATTGTAAATTACCCAAAAATCGTCAGTGGCTAATTTCCACTGGGGTCCTTGAGCAAGAGCCCCTCACCAGCATCAAGGAACCTCCCATAAGGGGAGAAGAAAGTAATTAAGTACTCACACATCCTCCAGCGAGTGCATGAACCAGACTAGAATAAGAGAAGAGTCCTGAGTTCCTGCCAGCCATCACTGCTACTCTTAATTACTTCTTCCTCCTCTACTAATATATCTACTCTCTATATATATGTCCTTGGGTAGATTTATCTATATCATCTTTCTGTCTTGCTGAAGGCTTTAAAGAGTTCTTATATTTTGAAGATCTAGATTAAAAAAACATTCCTTGAAGACTTTGATTATTGTTCCACCCGGGGAGAGGGAAGTCCAAGTCACCTTCAGTTATGGATATATAAAATATTACGACTGTCACAACTTGAATTATTTAGGAGAATTTAAAATTCACATTAACGTGGCATTACGTCTATCTTTCCCTCGGTTCAGCTTATTTCATAAACGTTATTAAACGATTATAGCTGCAGATCAGTGGCTGGTGAACGTCATATTATTGAAGACTGTCTTGGACTCAGTTCACCTAGTAATTAAGTTTAATATAAATAAGTTTATTCAGGTACACATAAATACTTACATTAATTATCATACACAGCAGCATATATGTAGATTACCCAGGATAACCCAGAAAAATCAGCCAGAGTGACTTATTACCAATACATAAAGGTGGTGACCCTACATTATTATTATTATAATCAAGGGGGAAGCGCTAAACCCGGAGGATTATACAGCGCCGGGGGGGGGGGGATGTGGAAGGCATTCAGGCTTAATTCGGGGAACTGGAGCACAGATCCAATTCCCTAAATCAAGAGCCCCTCACCAACATCAAGGAACCTTCCTTGAGGGGGGTGACCCTACAGACTTAAACTATAGGCCAATATCAAACTTACATTGCTATCCAAAATCTTTGAGAAACTCGTGCACAGGAGACTGTATTCATTTATAACGGCACAAAACATACTCAACCCCTGCCAATTTGGATTCAGGAAAAATAAAAGCACTAACGATGCAATCATAAAAATGCTAGATCTGCTTTACACAGCATTGGAAAATAAGGAATATCCACTAGGAATTTTTATTGGCCTAAGAAAAGCTTTTGACACAGTAGACCACGGCATCCTACTCCACAAACTTGACCATTATGGTATAAGAGGCCATGCACTTGCATATTTCAAATCTTACCATACTAATAGGTATCAGTATGTCACCATTAAAGACAGCATCAACAACACGGCCACTTGATACTGGAGTTCCGCAGGGAAGTGTCCTTGGTCCCCTGCTCTTCCTCATATACATCAATGATCTTCCAAACGTATCTCAACACCTGAACCCCATTCTCTTTGCTGACGACACGACTTATGTCATCTCTCACCCTAATCTTGCCACCCTCAACACCATTGTTAATGAGGAGCTGATCAAAATATCGACTTGGATGACAGCCAATAAACTTACGCTTAACACTGACAAAACCTACTACATTATGTTTGGTAGCAGAGCAGGAGATGCGCGAATTAACATTAAGATCGACAACACTCTAATTGCCAGGCATAATGAGGGCAAATTCCTAGGCCTATACCTCGACAACAACCTGAACTTCAGCACCCATATCCAACACAACCAAAAAAGTATCCAAAACGGTTGGGATCCTCTCCAAGATACGATACTACGTGCCGCAAACTGCTCTTCTCACACTATACCATTCACTTATATATCCATACCTCACCTATGCTATCTGTGCTTGTGGTTCAACTGCAGCAACACACCTAAAGCCAATAATAACCCAACAAAAAGCCGCAGTAAGAACAATCACTAAATCCCATCCCTGGCAACACCCCCCCCCCACTCTTCATAGATCTAAACTTACTCCCTGTTCAGTACATCCACACTTACTACTACCTGGAGTTTACCTGGAGAGAGTTTCGGGGGTCAACGCCCCCGCGGCCTGGTCTGTGACCAGGCCTCCTGGTGGATCAGCGCCTGATCAACCAGGCTGTTGCTGCTGGCTGCACGCAAACCAACGTACGAGCCACAGCCCGGCTGATCAGGAACTGACTTTAGGTGCTTGTCCAGTGCCAGCTTGAAGACTGCCAGGGGTCTGTTGGTAATCCCCCTTATGTGTGCTGGGAGGCAGTTGAACAGTCTCGGGCCCCTGACACTTATTGTATGGTCTCTTAACGTGCTAGTGACACCCCTGCTTTTCATTGGGAGGATGGTGCATCGTCTGCCAAGTCTTTTGCTTTCGTAGTGAGTGATTTTCGTGTGCAAGTTCGGTACTAGTCCCTCTAGGATTTTCCAGGTGTATATAATCATGTATCTCTCCCTCCTGCGTTCCAGGGAATACAGGTTTAGAAACCTCAAGCGCTCCCAGTAATTGAGGTGTTTTATCTCCGTTATGCGCGCCGTGAAAGTTCTCTGTACATTTTCTAGGTCGGCAATTTCACCTGCCTTAAGTAAGTAAGTAAGTAAGTAAGTTTATTCAGGTATACACAAATACAGTTACATAGAATTATCATACATAGCAGCATATGTGTAGGGAACCTAGGATAACCCAAAAAAGTCAGACAGAGTGACTTATTTCCATTGGGGTCCTTGAAAGGTGCTGTTAGAGTGCAGCAATATTCCAGCCTAGATAGAACAAGTGACCTGAAGAGTGTCATCATGGGCTTGGCCTCCCTAGTTTTGAAGGTTCTCATTATCCATCCTGTCATTTTTCTAGCAGATGCGATTGATACAATGTTATGGTCCTTGAAGGTGAGATCCTCCGACATAATCACTCCCAGGTCTTTGACGTTGGTGTTTCGCTCTATTTTGTGGCCAGAATTTGTTTTGTACTCTGATGAAGATTTAATTTCCTCATGTTTACCATATCTGAGTAATTGAAATTTCTCATCGTTGAACTTCATATTGTTTTCTGCAGCCCACTGAAAGATTTGGTTGATGTCCGCCTGGAGCCTTGCAGTGTCTGCAATGGAAGACACTGTCATGCAGATTCGGGTGTCATCTGCAAAGGAAGACACGGTGCTGTGGCTGACATCCTTGTCTATGTCGGATATGAGGATGAGGAACAAGATGGGAGCTAGTACTGTGTGCACATCTGTGCAATCTACATCTACAGGACCTTAAATTCCAATATTAACCTTGACCTAAAACGCTTTCTTGATAGATGTGACAGAACCCACAGGCATAACACCAGACACAAACATCTCTATGACATTCCCCGTGTCCGACTAAACGTTTACAAAAATTCAATGTATGTCAAAGGCCCTAAAATCTGGAACACCCTACCTGAAAATTCTAAAACTGCAGACACATTCATCACCTTCAAAACTACCATCAGAAAATATCTTATCTCCCTGATACACCCTGTCAACTAATTACACGAATACCACCTGGTGGTTAACACTTACACTCACTCACCCATTTGACCATAAACAGAAATATCAATCTCAATCTCAAAATAATGAATCTTAACTAGTCATAAGTTGGTCTGTGATACTCCAATACTGAAACTATGTATGGAAAATTTTATAGGAGTGATTACTTGTACGTACCTCGACATTACATGCATACGAGTAATCTCCTTGGAGGACAACAACGATATTGTTTACCATAGTCACCCACGTAGACATGTGAGAAAACTTAACCACCTCTGGTCACTGCAGGTGGCCCCCTCGACCCTCACAATGTTATCCATATCTATCCGAGACCAGTAGAAATTGGGTAGCACCCTCAAGTACGGCGCTACTAATTAATTGTGCTAACTTTCCTATGGTGTAGAAATATACCTAGTTGGATGAATCTTATTGTGGCTAGCTGGTCTAGTGGCTAACGCGACGGGCTGGAGTTTTGAGACTCTATGACCGCGGGTTCAATCCCGGCCGGGGGTATGGTTTATTTGCAATCGTGTCATTACGATTTCTTGAGTCCTGTATAGATTATATTAGTTTAACTGAATGAAGGGGGGGGGGGGGTAGGTTACACATGGATATACCCATCAAGGAAAAAACACTTGTACATAATCCCACCACTTACCAGATATTCTCTGGGGGTCACTTGATGTAGCTGGATCACCTATCCAATTACAACATACCTAACTGGCCAGTATCAGTCTGCTATAACTAGAAGGGTTACTTAACTGTGGGTGATTGATACTCCTTATTTCCTCCATTCACCATCTCATTTCGATGTCCTGCTACACCGACACGGTTCTCATTCCAGCAGGACGAGGTATCCGTTGGTTTGTCCCGGTTTAGAAGTCGTGACTCAATGAACTTCACTTTCCTCGTCACGGGAGCAACGAGGTCTAGCGTGTTCACTCGGAGCAAGGCGACTTATTTCACTTCACGCATTCTCTTAACTTAGCGTTATTATCATTAATTACATTACAATTCACAAGACGATTTAATGTCTCATAATTATTATACACATTAGAGATCACTCCATTAAGATCTGAGACCGATGAGTGGTGATTAAACCAAGGGAAATTTTCCCCCGGACACAGTCCATGGCGACGCGCCAGTCACCCGGTCCTAGTAAGTAAGTAAATTTATTCAGGTATACACAAATACAGTTACATAGAATTATCATACATAGCAGCATATGTGTAGAGAACCTAGGATAACCCAAAAAAGTCAGACAGAGTGACTTATTTCCATTGGGGTCCTTCCCTTATTCACTCATTTTACCACTTTATTACGGTGGTCCCGTAAATCACGTTCCCTCACTCTCCACCAGGAACAGTTACGACACTTCCTATTATGAAATGAGGCCTATATTAATCCTTAGGCCGCCGTGAACGCCAATTTCCTGGTTCCATGCTTTCCCAGCCTCCTCACTCCATTCAAAACACTCCCGCCTCTCGTGCCCCAGTTCGACCTATACCCCCGCACATCTGCGCATGCGCAGCGGGAACCCAGTTGGTCCCATTCAAAATACAAATACATTTTGACCCAAATCAACACATTAAACACTTATTAGGCACTATAGATGCGGAAATTAAATAATTTCCACACTATGTATTGTGCCAAAACAAAAGCATTCACATTGCTAAACTCACAAACTAATATTTAGTCACTTAGCCATAATACCAACTTACCTCATAATTTTGTAATATTTTAAACTTAAGATTTAATTTAAGTCTGCCTGAAATGCCTAGCCATGCTAGGTGTTCTAGTGGTATACTCTGTAATTATTATTTTACTACATGTAAACCACACAATAACCAAATTCTGTAAACTTAGCATTGTAATCCTAATAGAGAATAAACTTTGAATTTGAATTTGAATGGCGTCCTTGTAATATTATTTAAAAAATCATTAACTTTTGGGGGGGGGGGTGTT